GTGGTCAACCACAACCAGTTTTGTGAGAGACAGATACACTTTGATACTTACTTCCACATTGCTTAATTATAACATCACATGGCCACATTTCGGCCAAGTCGTACTTGCGTCTTAACTGGGTTGCTTCCTTTGGTTGACTTGACTTTTGTTGCCATATTCGCCAAGCAATCAACAGCCACTAATTATCAGTTTATTTCAGGTTTCCAAATATCCTTTGATCACTTGTATCAGTTAGAATTCTAACCTCATAAGCAGATTAATCTTAAATTCTACATATTATGAAAGAATCAGTGATGTGGTAAATAATTTTTTAGTAGAAGTCACTCCCAAAATCGAATAATTATATAAGAAAACTAGCAAGCTCAAAATATTTGATTCCGTTTTGACTGTTTTATTAAATATATAATGCTGGTTTGTGAGGATATCTAAACAGCCTGCATAGCCATTGTTAAAATGTTGGGACAAAATATGAGATTATTGTCACTTATACATTAGTGTAATAAAATTATAAAATTAAATTTTGGGAGAAAAGGATTCTAGAAAACCTTCATTTTATAAATTACTGTAAAAAACCAACAAAACAAACTAGCTCACTCATTTTGATTGGAACAGTAGGTCGGAGTTGACCCCACGGCGGCGTAATTCAGACAGCAGCCTCCAACAACTAACTTAGCCTTCTTCCTCATGTCATGTATCATATTTTGGTCTCTATTTGTTTAATTTTATATAGTTTATTGCATGTTTTCTTGCGAAAAATATATAACAAAAACTTTTTTTTGTTATTTTAATTAAAATATTGATACATGATATAGAAGGTGGCATTACTTTATCATAAACTTAGCTGCTCTATCTTGAAAATTTTCTTCTTTTTTTTTGTGGTAAAAGTCTATCTTGAAATTTGCTTCTAGTAAGATGCTCTTATGGATAGGTATCGACTCAATGAATATCCTTAGCAATAAAAAAACTATAAAGTAATTGCTTCCGTTAACTGACAAGTTCTAGAGATTAATCAGATGATGGGGTTAGATTGTCATGAATTTCTTTAAATAAAATCATCATTAACCAGGAAAAATAGCAAATAATTTGTCAACTAAAAGAGACAACCACATAGGAGAGTCCATATAAAAAAAAATCAAAGCCCCGATAGACGTTACTTACGATGCACATATAAGATGTGTTGAATTTATATCATCAGATGTGTTTTAGATAATTACATATTTACATACATGATGATTATGATTTACTCATATATTGTAAACACGAGTGACTCATATATTGTATCACATGCAGTTGATTATGCTCTGTAATCTTTCTTTTCTTACGACTAGGCTATGTAATCTTTTGAATAACGTTTTTCCTTTTATTTTTATCATTACAGCCGGCAGAATAGTTTTTTGTAAGCAGTTTTTTTTGTAAGCCGTTGTAATAAATAAAATGAAAAAAAGAAATAAATAAAATGAAAGAAATAAGAAGCCTTACGTTATCAACGTAAATAACAAATTTAAATTTAAAATTCCTCCAGAGAGATTGTTCATTAATGTTTTACGTGTGATTTTAATAATTAAGTGTTCGAGTCTCAGTAAATATATTGAACCAAAAACAGAAAGAAAGAAGAAATTTACAAAAAAAAAAAGAAAGAAAGAAAAAGTCTCAGTAGATTAGTAAATAACTCACATACGATACTTATACACTTACACTCCTCCACTTAATTACGACTTGCAAGTCTTATTTTTCTTGAAAGCTTACCCGTGAACTAATCCGGAAAAACAATAAAAATAAATTAGGAAACTGACAGATTAACAGAGCTTAATTAATATTTAACATCAATTAACATCAATTACAGTTGTCAGAAAGACGAGGAAAACGTGAACTCCAAAGATAAATGAAATTCAAAAAACAATTTGATGTTTTAAACTGTTTAAATGAAAGTTGGTACTTTAGTGGCTCAAAATTTAAAAGTTTAGATTCTTTATAACTATTTTTCCTTTTTCAAACTAAAGCGAAAAAACAATGTTGTTTTGTTTAACTATAGTTTTAACGACTAATATATATAAAAACCTTGGTAGAAGGAAAATAAGAACTTGAAAATATGTTGACTCAATTATATTTACGTGTGGTGTCGCATAGACACGAGGTCTAGCCGTCTAGATTTAGATTTACATACATAAAAACAAGTCTTAGGGCATCAGCATCAGTGAACTCCCACTTGGGGTTCACCAATTGATTTTTTTATTATTTTTCTTTTTTCGTTTGATCTTTTTAAAAAAAAAAAAAAAAAAAATTTAAAACTGACCAATCGTGGGCCGCCACGTGGCATGGGGCCCACGAAACAGTAGTGACTAGGTTCATGGGAGTGAACCTCTACGGCCCAGATTCACAAGTTTTACATTATTTTATTGTTTTTTTTTCTTGGTTTGTGTGTGAACCTCCCCCATCATCCTTTGATGGGGGTACTCTTACTATCTTATTATTCTGATATATTAGTCAAATAAACAATTAAAAAATGTGCATTGGTGACACAAATTTTCTTATTAGCTTAAGAAACTGCTTGTTAAAATTCCCATTCAAAATAGACGATAACATAACTCACATGGGCCAAATATACTTGAACTTGTGAAGAGAAACATATACAGTATTTGATTTAGATGGTCGTCCAACTCTAGACGACAAATAGTATCCAACCCAGGAAGTATAGGTCTTTATCCACCTCCCGTAAGAGTTGGACTATCATGGCCTATTTATTTGGCACGTCTAAATAAGAGAAAGTATAGCGGTGTTGGATATTGTAAACGATGGTAACAATCTTGGGCTTCGCATCAGCACTTTAAAATATCATAATTTCTCCTCAGCAATGTCTTTTTATTTGACGTTGTTCGTGTGCACATTGCACCAATAATTGTGAATCTCAGACGACGAAGATGAATTATTTTAGCTGGTCATGTTTGTGCCATTGATTTTTACACTTTTAAAATCATATAAATCTATATTGTTATTGGATATATATTCGTAGAAACAGTAGCATCTTAATGAACAAACTATATGTCTATGTTCATCCAACATCAATAAAATTATCTTAACATTTATCAAAAGTCAAATCATTTCAGATGTGTTTGATATAATATGCCGTATTCAGTTTAGCAAGCTACTTTCAGTTATTGGAAAGAGGATTTATATGAAATTATGGTATTGATTTATGTGAGACCTACAACCAAAACCTTGCCCACTGTAACCAGAAATATGGAATCCCAATCAAATGTTTTAGGAAATAAATACAACTAGGTGACCGACCTGCACTCTGTGCGGGTATAAAAATATATTATAATGTTGAGACAAGAGTATCTATTGAGTTCAAATATGGGAGTTAGTAGAACAAGTGAGAGTTTCAATGCTGAGAAAAAATTTGCGCAAATCTCTAGGATGTAGTAGGGGTGGGCAAATCGTTACTTTTTCGGTTTGGTTTGTTTAGTTCGGTTTTAATATATTTTTTCAACTGAAATAAACCTTATTTAGTCTGGTTCGGTGTTGTTTATGTCTAGTTCAATTTATATCCAGTTCGGTTTGTTTTTGGATCGGTTTAATTAGGATTTTTGTCGCTTAATTTTTTAAAGAAAAACCTTGCCCACTGTAACCAGAAATATGGAATCCCAATCAAATGTTTTAGGAAATAAATACAATGGTCTGCCCTAATCTATGGGCGTTCACAATAGTATAGTAAGAAAGTACATGTGGTGTTTTATATAAACCAACTAGTTGTATATATGTATAAAATGGATGTTTTGTCATGGTCTTTGTCCCTCTTTTTTGTTGACATCCTTTGTCTTGGATCATATGTGGTGGTCGAGAACATGAAAAGATGACCACTTATCCAAATAATTTAAGTTTCGGACTATCTGTAAACTATAATATAGTACAATTAGAAAGCGTTTTCCCCATTAATACAAAATGGAATCTCAACGACCCACTTGACGATAATTTACACAATGCATCTTTTCTTAAAGTTTAAACCCCAAAACTGTTGGCTTCGATTATCTGCCAATGTATTAACCTAAATTTTTATAATCCACCATCAAACTTTATATTATTATTATTATTTTTTAAACTGAACATATCATTTGAAACTTGTCGATCTTTTTATCTAAATAAATGCTATTAGGGATTCTTCATTTTTATTGTTATATATACAATATATATTTTTCTAGCAAATTCAAGCTTTCTATAAATTCTGTCTGACTTATTTGATAATAACCAACTCACCCCACAACTCGTGTAAATCAGCATGTATTATGTGTTTTTGGGCCAAAAAAATATTATGTTTGTCATTGAACGTTTTCAAGACTTGTGTAAATGGTGATTGTGGAATCAGTAGCGCATACATAATAATGTTTAAAATTTTGAATACATGTGTAAAAAATAATTAGATAATATCTCGACTTATCAAGTTATATGACTGACGCTGATGATATTGATGCTAGCGTGATAGTGCAAAGTTGACAATATTTAAAACACCTTAATAGTATTAATTCAGAAGAAAAAAATATAGTATAATCTCTTTAAATTAATAATCTCTAAATTAATATACATTAAATTTTTTTCTAGAATAATATAATTTTATAATTTCAAATTTTTTGGTTCAATTAATATATCGATAAATTAATAAATTAATAAATTAATTAAAAATTATAGTTTTGGTGTAATTCTAATATTATTAATTTTCATAACTTAAATCTTTTTCATATTACCATTTACCAAAATTGAAAACCCTAACCCTAAATCTTTAGGTTACATCTCCAACCAATATTTTCACAACTTCCATAAATGACAAGTTTATAAGAACAATTAATTGAAATCTAAAGAACGTCAAAACCTCCACCTGTCAACCACGTGCGTTGCACGTACGTTGACGGACCCGTGAGTGTAGACTCTTCTCTTGGTCAAGCGGACAAGCACCCACTTAACACAAACCACACACAAGCCTTCTCTCCAATTTGGCTCCCCTTTTTTTAATTCATTACTTAACGATCCCTAACTATATTTAGTAACCCTCTTGCATTATTAAATGAATAATTAGCTTCTTCTAATCTCTCTCTCTCTCTCTTAAAGACTTCTCAAGATTTTTCTCTAAGTATCAGATTAACTTTTGTAGGGTTTTTCTTTTCCGGCAAAACAATTTATGTACCCTCCTCCTCCTCCCTCCTCCTCCTCCAAGTCCACCGCTCAAGACGGCGGCGACACCGACAACAATGGATACGACCCAGCCGCTGGAATCACCCGTGACTTCTCCTCCCTCGGTTCTCAAACCCTCTATAATCCTCCACGGCCCCCACCTCCGCAGCAGCAGCACAATCCTAACGTTGTTGGTCTTGGTGATTACTTCTCCGGTGATCCATCTACCATCGGATTCGATCCCGGGGCTTCTTCTTCGTCTCCGTTGTTCAGACACAGAAGCTCTCCGGCAGGATTCTATGACCAACATCTTCCCACTGATCCCAACGGTAACCTTTTGTGTTAGTTAATCTTACATTTACAACTCACATAGACAGAACACTGCACGAATTATAATCAGTAGTACTTTTTCGTTAATTCAAATGTTTTGATTTTTTTTTTAATATTGTTTCACATTTATATTTTTTTAAACATATATACAAAACTAATGTTGTTTAACCATACCAATTAGATTTAATATAACAATCTTTAAACTAATTAAATTGACAAACACTTATATCTTGTATTGCAACAATATCTTCAAAATATGTGAATAATCATATATAAAGTATAAGTATACAATGAAAAAAAAACTTTTAGGAGTATGTTTTTTTAATGACAAACGAGTCGGTATATAAATTAATCTTACACGTAATTTTCACTTTCTCGAATCCAAACCTTTGAATTTGTTTCGACGACTTTAATTTGTCAACTAGTTTCCCTCCACATATAAAAGGATACGACTTTTGTTTTCTAATTAATTACCAAATATAATATCGACCACTTAAATGAAAATCGAAACCACATTAGCTATCAAAAACCACATTAGCTAATCACTAAATGTTATAAGTTGTTATGGTTATCTATCTATCAATAGATTTTGTTCACACATTTCTCTTTCATTTTCTCTATGGAGAAACCATGGACCATATTGTTTGTATATAAATATTGTACAGAACTGGCCTTGGCTATAGCTTATAAAACATTAGTTTCAAGTGCTAAATTTAGTATAAAAATTTTAAGAACATCATAATCTTATAGTATAATGGATTGGCAGCAAAAAAAAAATTCATGCTTTAAACGTCCAACTACATAGGACCGACCATGAATATATACAAAATACATAAATACAACTTATAAATACACTTTTTGATCAAAATAAATACACTATACATGCACGAATAATTAAACACGTATTTCCAGGAGGTGCAAGTTGGATATTTTTCAAAATGCAAATTAATGCAAATAGCATGTATTATAAAACATGCACTTGCCAAAAGTATATGTTAAAAAAAAAACGAATCGTTTCAAAAATAAATAAAGTATCGTCCACTTGGCAATATTATACCCATCCCACTTGCTCTTTTTCTTCTGACAAAGCAGCCATGAGGCCAACCCTGCTGACATGGCTTCATCATAGACACTGTTTCCATTTTTGGAAAAGCCTACTTGTCATTATAAATAATTTATTTATTACTGTTTTGTTGGTTGCAAAGTAATTTATACTACTTTTGTGCAATTTGATCTTCTGTTCATTGCATCCGTCCGGTTTATTTTTCCACTGTAATCCATGTGCGAGTCCCAAGAAAATTACCCCTCTTGCATTATTATATACGCATATACAAGACATATAACTTGTTTATAATAATATTTGGAATTCAAATAGTGAAAACTAATTTCTAAGATCCTTTTCATGATTAATTGTTATTCTCTTTAAAATACTGGAGATAAATAAAGAAAATCTAGTAGAGACAAAGGAAGGGTTCCTCGAGTCTCGAACAAAACCCATTCTCTTATTTTTGTGTGTGTGTGTATATATATGCAGTTTTAAAATCGTACTGGCTATTAAATACTAAGATCATTACAAGTTATAAGTTATAACTTATAACCCTACGTTACATTACATTACATCTCTTTGTTTCTCTTTGGATCTAAACTTGTTGATGGATGAGCGACCAGGTTTTTCTCTAGGGCGGCCAAACGGAGGATACGTCGGAGGAGGAGGAGGAGAGCGAGGGCCCTCAAGGTTGAAGCCGGAGCTGAGATTTTCCGGCGGGAGTAGTAGTAGTAGTCATCAAGAACGCAACTCTCTACTGCGAATCTCGGAGGCTGAAGCCGCTGCGGCGGCCATAAAAGGTGTTGCATCTACGAGTATGACTTTTGGAAATGATCACAACAATTGGGACAACTCGTCTTCTCATATCAGTTTCACCATTGATGAACCCGGGAAACGGTCCAAGACCACCGACTTTTTCACCTTGGAAACACAGGTATCTTTATACTTTTGTGGTTATTAGTTATATGTGTATGAGTTGTATCAATGTTGAGTACATTAACTTTCTTTGCAATAAAGTTCCTTAGTTCTTCGAATCTTTAAGATAAAGGGGGAGAAAATGCATATGCTAAAAGTTGAGTGTTTATGATTGATCTATGTATGACTTACAAGTTGTATGTTAATCAATGATATTACAGTGTGTAGAGTTGTTGTGTGTAATACATATAATATGAAATTTGTAAATTAGATTTAAATCCATAAGGCCAATTAGCAATAAGATCTCAGTTTGACATAAATCCCAGTAAAATTGTTATATATCATAAGTTCATGGATGTTGAATGGTTTTGTGTGACACATATAAATAGTTTAGAGAAGTTTAATTAAGATTGGTTTATGTATATTTCTTCTATATATAACACACACAAATAGTTTAGAGAAGGTTTACGATTGATTTATATATATATATTTCTTCACAAGCGAGTTTTTATGTATATTTTTCAAAAGGATGTTTTGTTTGGATTTTAAGTGGTTATCTTATTTTTCGGCATGTCATTGTTATGATTATTTAGTATAGTATGCCGCAAACGTCTCTGGAAATGGCGAGAATGGAGAATATGATGAACATACCAGAGGATTCGGTGCCTTGTAGGGCTAGGGCCAAGCGTGGCTGTGCGACTCACCCACGCAGCATCGCTGAAAGGGTTAGTTGTATTATATTGTTTTGATTTTGTTATTACTACAAAGTAAACATATAATCATACAGTAGAATGTGTTTGATACCCAAAGAAACACAACAGTATAATCAAGTTTTATGTATAGGAGAGAAGAACGAGAATAAGCGGGAAGCTAAAGAAGCTACAAGAACTGGTGCCCAATATGGACAAAGTGAGGGATATGGATTAAAAGATTTATGTAACTTAAATGTTGGTAAGAAGATTATATATAACTAATAAATATTGATGTTCTTTTTATTTTTGCAGCAAACGAGCTATGCAGACATGTTGGATTTGGCTGTTGATCATATCAAAGGTCTTCAACACCAAGTAGAGGTGCGTCCTTATGTAAATTTGGTATATTTAATAGTTTTAATTACACATATATAGACTACTTTTTTTTTAACCACAACATATAGACTCATCTAAGTTAAGAATCATGCATATCGCTCTACGTACACAAACAGATGGTTATGTATATGAAGAGAAACTGGAGTTGAACTTGTGTTCATAAAAGCCATACAAATGGAAAACGAGACATCAAAACATAGATAGAGCTTGTATCAAAAGCATGTAAATATTTGCTGAGTTAATGTTTAATGTTTGATTATTTGTCATGTATAGTCGCTGGAAAAGGAGATGGAGAGATGCACTTGTGGGGCATGCAAGAAGCGATGATGAAATGTTGTGATGTGTTCCCAAACATGATGCAAGAAAGTGTAGAAAGAGAAGAAAAGAAAGAGACTTAAGGAATCAATTCAACAACAACAAGAAAATGATTTTAATTATATATACTTGTGATTTTTGGAGGTCCAAAGAAAGTGATGGTGGTCTATTAATGAAGTTTGGTTTTTGACACATTCTTGAAGTCTTCACCATAGTGACAAGTTATAACAACTTAAACTGATTCGAAAAAATCAAATTTAACCATTAAAAAGAACAATATTTGAGGTTTTTTCCATGTGTGTGGTATAGTATTCAATCCTACGTCATCGCCTGTGGATTCATTTTGATGTTACCTCAAACGTAGTAGCTAACACACTATATACAGAATCTTAACTGGTTATTATGACTTCTTTAGTTTATGATCTCTTTCAAATCTCAATAATCTATATTAACCAATCAGGAATACAATCGTCTAACACACATCATTGCAAATATATAGAAAGAGAAATTAAGCAAACTTTGCTAACACACTACAATAAACTCGGCTTGGCTTGTCATTGCATATGCATAGGCCCAAAACCATTGCGGTAACTTCTACTTATTACAACAAGCTTCACATTAGCTTCATACCAGCTCACATCTCCTCGTATGATGGAAATCTACTTCATGCGCAAAGTGAGACTTTAACATTTAATATTGCGCTTCATTAACACAGCCTACAATAAAGGCAAATTAAACTCTCTCTCTCTCTCTCCTCTCTCTAAGCGTTATTACAGAACAGAGAGAGAAGTAAAAGAGAAAACGAGTGGAAGACATGTCGGACGACGAGAGATGTGAAGAGTACCTCTTCAAGATCGTCATCATCGGAGACTCCGCCGTCGGGAAATCAAATCTCCTAACCCGCTACGCTCGCAACGAGTTCAACCCCAACTCTAAAGCCACCATCGGCGTCGAGTTCCAGACTCAGAGCATGCTCATCGACGGCAAGGAAGTCAAAGCTCAGATTTGGGATACCGCCGGCCAAGAACGCTTCCGCGCCGTCACTTCCGCCTATTACCGCGGCGCCGTTGGAGCTCTCGTCGTTTATGACATCACTCGCACTTCGACGTTTGAAAATGTCGGTCGCTGGCTCGATGAGCTTAACAGTATGTTCCATCTACTCTGTTTTTCGATTCAAAGATTCGAGCTTTAGATCCCTCCTCTGTTTTTTTCGATTCAAAGTTTCAATCTTTAGTTCACTCCTCTGTTTTTCGATTCAGAGTTTCAAAATCTTTAGATCCCTTCTCTGTTTTTCGATTCAAAGTCTCAGTCTTTAGTTCCCTCCTCTGTTTTTCGATTCAAAGTCTCAATCTTTAGATCCCTCCTCTGTTTTTCGATTGAAAGTTTCAATCTTTGCGTTAGATCTGCAAATGGAATGTTGGTTTTGATTGGAAGTTTCTATTTTTAGATGATGATAATGGTAGTGAGAATCTTTAGATCTGAAGATGAATGATTGACTTTGATTCAAGTTTGAAGTCAAAAGTGGTCTTGCTTTGGTTTTTTTGTTGTTGTAGCTCACTCTGATACAACAGTAGCGAAGATGCTGATTGGGAACAAATGTGATCTCGAGAGCATAAGAGCTGTGAGCATTGAGGAAGGGAAGAGCCTTGCGGAGTCTCAAGGTTTGTTTTTCATGGAGACATCAGCTTTGGATTCGACCAATGTGAACACTGCTTTTGAGATGGTTATTCGAGACATTTATGGTAACATCAGTCGGAAGCAGCTCAACTCTGATTCTTACAAGGAGGAACTAACCGGGAACCGGGTTAGTTTGGTCAAGAACGAGAGTGAAGGGACAAAGACATTTTCTTGCTGTTCGAGGTAATATCTCACTGTGAACGGTTTTCTCTTGTCCTGTTGGGGGCTTGGTGGTGTGTTCGTTGGGGTATAACTTATAGTAAAGACAGAGACATTCTTTTTGGTTCTCAATTGAAAGCTAAAGGTTAAGAGAGAAAGGTNAACCGGGTTAGTTTGGTCAAGAACGAGAGTGAAGGGACAAAGACATTTTCTTGCTGTTCGAGGTAATATCTCACTGTGAACGGTTTTCTCTTGTCCTGTTGGGGGCTTGGTGGTGTGTTCGTTGGGGTATAACTTATAGTAAAGACAGAGACATTCTTTTTGGTTCTCAATTGAAAGCTAAAGGTTAAGAGAGAAAGGTGTGTGTGTGTTTTGAGTTTCTTTGTTACAGATACAGAAAAAATGTAAGCAAATTTGGACAAAGAAGTTTGAACAATGTATAAGTTTATACTCTCCTTTGCACTTCCTGTTCTTTGTAAACTTTTTGAGTGTTAAAAAAACCAGTTTTGATATTTTTCAATTGCTGTTTCTCTTTATAATCTAAGTTGTTTTGACAAGAAATTTATTCTAACATATAAATTGTTTTACATTTCTATATAGTTTTATATATTTATTGTTGATTTGTAAATTAAATTATATCATGCTGTTGTTTTATAATTGGTCAAGTTATATTTAAAAATATTTTCTGAAAAAGAATGGTTTTACCTAAAACAGTTTATATTGTGAAACATTTAAACAAAACGATTCAAATTACATTTTGACGACAAAAAAAGAACTATGTATTTTATATTTAATTTATTATCTTCGAATAATGTAGTTCGTGTATTCATTGCTTCCATTCAACATATTTGTGATGATTAGAAAGATGAGTCTCAGAGACTCGGTGACAAAAAAAAAAGGAAAAAATAGAAAGATAGAGTCTCTATTGATGTTTGACCCAAAAAAGAGAGGCTGTATTGATGTTAATCATAAGAGCTGAAAGTTTGAAATAGCAATAAGTTGTTTTCGGTGAAGCAATGTAGTCGGTGTGTTCATTGCGTCCACTCTGTATCACCAGACACCACTCGTTCAGAATGCATAAACCGAAGTTGGCAACCAAATTTAGTAATATAAAAGATATTAGAAGTAATGACAATCATGTTTATGTCACTTCAACGTGTTAATACGCGTTTGGTATATAACAATTGTTTCGTCTATGTCTATTTCACATCAGAGAAAGTGCGTTGCGCTTTCTTCATATGGTCAATATTTATCATAGTATGAACAGTTAATTTAAACTTAGAATGTGGTTAAACATAATAATGATCACTACGGTTGGAACTAAAAACAAAGTCAGCCTTGGATTTAATGGGTTCCCACCCACATACTTTGCAAAAGAAATTGGGTTTAAACTTTATTATTGTCCCATTCAAAGCACACATAAGATAAAAACAAGTATGAAAATAAAAATAATAAAACCGTGACTAATGTTATATTAGTCTCTATCATTGTGACCTCCAATACTTGGCCATTTCAAAGCCATTCTTACCATAGTGATAATCTTCAATGGTCATATCAATCTCAGCTTGAGTATTCATCACAAACGGACCGTACTGAACCACCGGTTCACCTATTGGTTCTCCAGCGATCAACACAAACCGCAGCTTCTTCGAAGATGACTTGTTCCACACGCTAACACCGTCATTTCCTTGTCCGAACACCACAACATTGTGTGCTGAAACAGGAGAAGCGTTTGATGAGCCGAAAGCAGCTCCACCCTCACCGCTCTCAAGAACGTAAGCAAATGCGTTCCAAGATTCGGGAACGTTTTGGTGGAACTGAACTCCTGGTTCGAGAGTGAAATCGAGGAACATTGTTGGTGTTCTTGTGTAGACAGGAGAATGAATTCCCATTGATTCTCCTGCTATGACTTTGACTTGGACACCGTTTTGTTCTGCTTTTGGTATGTCTGAACTCGACAGTTCTTGGTAGTTTGGCTCTATCCTGTCGGAACCAAAATTAGAGAGTTAATTATCCGGTTTAGAAACTCCTAGTAAATATTTTAATTAGCTATAGTGGGTTTGTGTTACATTTTCTCGTTGGATGAAAGATTGATCCAAAGTTGTAAACCTTTGTTAACTTCTTCTTCAGGCATTTCAGAATGAATGATTCCTCTTCCTGCAGTCATCCACTGTAAAAATATACAAATTCGAATTGTTTTAGTTTTTTTTTTATTGTTGTTTTTATTTATTTGAGAAAGGGTTAAAATTTGCTGTTGGATTATGAATGGTTAAACAGCTCATTCTGTTTTTTTTCACCTGAACATCACCAGCGTAGATTGTACCCTTATGGCCTTTGAAATCTTGATGAGTGATTCCTCCCTACAAGGCAAAAAAGAAAAATATTAGAAGAAGAAGATAATTAGAGAACAGTTATTTAAGAAAACCAATTAGCGAAAAATAATTAAAATATGTTAGTTTACCTCTAGTACGTATGTAACTGTTTCAAAACCTGTTCATCATAATATTCACCAAAAATGTTAATGTTAGAGAGACATTACATAAAATCATTTTCTATATTTCTATATATGTAATGTAACGTGTATATATGTATAGGTGGTTTGACCTCTGTGAGGATGATCTGGGAATCCAGCTGGAGGAGAAACTGCTCCAAAGAAAAATTACAGAGTAAAACATAATTAAAGAAACATCAATAAACTAATGACTGTCTTTAATTAATGGATAAAATAATTTAAATATAAAAATGGCTGTCTCCGAGAATATACCGGAGAATTCATCTAGCATCAAGAACGGATCTAATAACTTCTGCTCACTCCTAAATATACAACAAGAATTTTTTTTGGTAAGATTTGATAAATGAAAAATCATTAACTTGCCTAAAAAGGAAAGAAAAAAAAAGACTAAAGAACCTGGAAATGCCACGTCTAACGACGGCTCCATCGCCTTCTTTCTGAAGCTTAGCGAAGACTTTCTTGATTACAGATCTTGATACAAAGTTTTGGGAAGAAGAAGAAGAAGACATGGATTTAACGTTTCTGAATGATAACAACCCCCTCCAAGAAATTTTGCTCTGTTTATCGCAGCTCTCATATACTACTTGTGTTCTCTCTTTTTCTGCTTTAACTTGTGATCTCGTTAACAGATGAATTTGGGTTGTGTGTTTTGGTTTGGTGATTATGTGTAGCTATTTATAGAGTGACGGCTTAGAAAATGTGTGTGGGCCCTGATGGGCTTCAAAAGGTTTACACCGCCGCATTGTTTGGAACCAGACCGCTGATTGCATTGTGTCATGCTCACGTCATTATGTTCAAGCTCTGACGTCTTGTGAGTTTTTGATAAACTTTTGTATTGTGTATAAAAGTTCTTTAATCCATATATTGCTCCCAGTTCGGCTTTTGAATTAATATTTTTAAAACGAAAAATGATATTGGATCTTTTTTTTGTTCAGATAAAATATATTCAAATTTTGTATTTCCAACAAAAGTGAAAAACTAATATTTCATGACAAAAGTAGAAACTAGAATCTGTTCAGGTTTTCGGTATATTGTATTGAGTTCAGTTTACATTACTGTATCAGTTTTTTATGTAGATTCAGTAGTACAGAAAGTAAAAAGTTTATCAGTTTTTATGTAGATTCAGTAGTACAGAAAGTAAAAAGTTCATGAGTTTATAATAGAGTGAAAGTACTAGGCTTTGGCTAATGAATAAGACAACGTAGAGTAACTTTTTAAAATAAAAAAAATTACTTTAGCCATCTTAACTGATACCACTTCCAGATAATCCCCAAATTTATAGGTTTAATTATATTATGGATTAACCTCGAAGACCAGTTCAAAAGTTAACAAAATCAAGATGAGCTCTAGACTTCTACTGCCAACGTGGAACTTAGGGACGTGACACGTGTCCGTGTTGCATACATAGACACATACGCAACCTTGACGTCATCAAAATTTGGGTGTAAGAACCTTGATGTCTATCTGTAAAACTAGGTTCGTATTAAGAAAAAATATTGTAGCTAATTTATATTTAATATATGACAGAAACATATACTATAAATCAATTCAAGTGACTCATGCTTACATCACGGATTCACGGTATATCGAATAGGTTGTCACTGTCGATGTAAATCAAATGGAAATGATTTGCTCATCATCATAATTTAAGATAATCGGGAACAAAAAAGGAAGATAGTCGAATTGCTTTTTCGTTTTTACATTTCTGGTAAAAAAAATTAGTGAAAGATCAATAGCACCCAATCTCAAGTGCTTTATCTCCTTGTCAAATATGGCACTTAAGTATAAAATTAGTAGTTTCATCTTTTCTTATTTCTCATATACTTTCTAAGACCAATGTTGAGTTGGCCTAATGGTAAAAGGGTTGTAGTTATAATTTCCGCTACTAGGGTTCAACTCACGGTAGAAAAGATTATTTACAATGTTTGGGTTCCCGACAAAAAGGTGAAACCACCTTTTTGATTACCAAAAAAAAATATATATACTTTCAAAGTTACATAATTTTTATGTTCTTATAGAGTATAGTGTTTATTATCTAGCTCATTTCGGCTTTATTGTAACATTGTTTTGAAAAGATTTTGAAAGTTCACATTTATTTTATCATCCTGATTTTTTTTACTCACCAGATAAATTTGAACAGTATCATTTAATTGACTTATAGGGTAACATATATTTTAGTCATTCTACTATGCATTTTAGATGTACCAACTAATTTAGTAAATTTGTACATCGTATAGACAAATTCATCGGAATCCTGATAAAAAAAAAAAGATAATTAAATTCATTGTCATTACTGATTATATAATTTCTTATTACATAATCAAACAATGCAGGCTTTTTTTTTATATTTCGAAAACATTTAGATATACATTTCATAAGTAACCATTATTTATAATTATTTGTTTATTTTTAAAAATATTTTTTGGTGGATTTTTATGTGACTATTAGCTATTACGTTTTGTGGCATCTGTATGTGATCGTTATTTAATTAATGAAATAGAAATCGAACCGGAGAGTAAATGGAGTATATCACTTTCAGTTCCTACATAACTATTCACGTTAATCCAAACAAATGTGACATATAATATGCCTAAGCAATACGTGTGCTTACATAAAATGGGCATTATTGTAAAGAAACGGACACTAATTATCGACTTCAGAACAGCTAGATCTTACACACTTGCTCGTTTCTGTTTGCTAGTTGGCTACCTAAAAATATGAAAGGGGCCTTCTATATCTAATTTTTAATTGTATTGTATGATATAAAATTGTTACTTTTTGGTTAAATGAGTGATAGATTTAGAGGTTTTCTATACATACTATCTTTTCGAATCGTGACACAAGCCACAAATTACGAGTCTCGGTTATTTTATGGTTGTTAAATCATGGGTTATCTCCAGCTTTTTTTGTGTTTTTTGTCATCTATCTCCAGTTTTTTTTGTCACAACATTTATCTCCAGTTATATTATGTTAGTTTCTAATAAATGTTTTGTAACTGAAAGCAGGATAATAAGAAGTATGAGATGTAATTTTATAGGA